AGGGGCACACTGACAGGAGAGCACGGCGATGCTGCCCCCACCGGAAACCTTCGCACAAAACTTCGCATATGCCTACAGGGTCCTCGCGCGCTTACAAACACGCAAGCGGCTCGGGACGCACCACCTAAGAGCTCTGGAACTAGAACCAAGGAAGCACGCACAGACCTTCGACGTTATGTTATGATTTGTTTATTCCGTGGGCCCCAGGGCTCACGACACCTTCCCTGTGGGGGTAGTCTCTCGTCGCGGGTTGGTTTTCGGTCCCCCGGCCTGAGAAACGGTCCCCAGAGGTCGAAACGGAGGAAACACATACACACACACACACACACACACACACCAGGACGAAACAGAACATGCACTGGCTTAGAGACCCTAAACATCAACGCCGAATGAGAGAACGCGCGGTGAGGAAACGTCGACGTGCCCCTGCACGGCACCGCACGCGGAAACCACACGGCACCGCACGCGGAAACCACACGGCACGGCACGCGCACCGGCACGCGCACGGGCACGCCGCGGGCACGGCACGCGGGCCGGGGCATGCTCTGCCCTCCGAGAACGAGGCACGGCACGCGGGCACTGCACGGCCAGCGGGCACGAGGACGGCACGCGGGGAGGGCCCGGCACGCACACGGCCCAGGTACGCTCCATGAAGCCTCCAAGAGGCCCCCAGGTGCTCTCCCAAGCGACCTCTCGAGAGCCCCCCTGGATGCCTCTCAGGGGCCCCTTGTCCACGACACGGGCACTGTGACGTGATGGGTCGACCCCCGTGCTTGCCACAGGCGGGCATGATGTCGTAGGCTTTGCAGATTGGTTCCCGGTGGCCCCTCTCCCGCTATGCGACGATTCTGCACCATTAGCCCGCTCGTTCCCCGGAGAACACCTGAACGAGACACAGCTGCAGGCGTGCAGTGAAGAGTGTTCCCCGAAACATGCTGCAAATTGCTCGGGAAACAACCACGCCCACAGGTGACCTATTTGAAATATCCGCCGCTGTGCCTCTGGCGCGAAGTGGAGCACCTCTGGCCTCACATGCACTTCCAGGTGACTCGCCAGAGGCGCCTTCGACAGCAGCGCTTCTCCTGTACCATGCGGCCACTCGCGGCGAGCCGTGATGCCTCCGACGTGGTGTCGATGGAACACGCTGATGCACGACGACGCCAACGCCGACGACGACGACGCCGACGACGACGACGACGACGACGACGACGACGACGACGACGACGACGACGGCGACGGCGACGGCGAAGGCGACTGCGGCGGCGACGGCGACGCCGACGGCGACGGCGACAACGACGACGACGACGACGACGACGACGACGGCGACGGCGACGGCGACGGCGACGGCGACGACGGCGACGGCGACGGCGACGGCGACGGCGAAGGCGGCGGCGGCGGCCGCAGAGAAGACGGCATGGCGCGACGCCAGCGGGAAGCCCTGGGAGGTTCCCGGGGGTGTTCAGGGGCCTCTGGAGGCCCCCGGAGCAGCCGGGCTCCTCCTCCTCCTCCTCCATCTCCTCCTCCTCCTCCTCCTCCTCCTCCTCCTCCTCCTCCTCCTCCTCCTCCTCCTCCTGATCCTCCTCCTCCTCCTGCGCAGTCCTCTCCTCTCCTCCTCCTCCTCCTCCTCCTCCTCCTCCTCCTCCTCCTCCTCCTCCTCCTCCTCCTCCTCCTCCTCCTCCTCCATCCAAGGGCCCCTGGAGGACCAAGAAGAGCCAAGACCGTTCAGTTGCCCCGATCCCGTGAGCCGCAACGATACGGCGGGGACTGGCACAGAATGGGAAACATTGACCTGTAACCGGCGATACATCTCCGATAGGTCGGCGCTAGGCCACCGATTGCGAGGCAACGCGTTTCCTGGGCGGGGCGAAAAATCGGGCCACTATCGGCGATCAATGGGCGATTGGGGGTCGCTGCTCATCCCCCCCTTGGCCTTTCCTCCCCTATCGTTGCCCCCTGGCGTTTTGGGTCATATTTCGGCTCTCCAGCGGGCGTTCGGGCCGATCCGGGCACCCCTGGAACGCCCTGAGCGAGACACAGCCGATGGAGACCAATCCGAGGCGGGAAAGCCGCCGAGAACCCACGAGAAAACGCTCGAATACCTCGAACCTCGAATCCTTATCGTTGCCGCTTGTCGTGGGCCGTCTTGGACACTGCGAGAGCATGCAACAAATATGCATTTTCTTGACGGAATGGGGCGATGTTTGCCTCTTGGGGCCTTCTTGCGGGTGGTTTTGGAATCCGCTTGGTGCGTCTTGGGCGCGTTTATGGCCGACTGGAGACCGTCTTGAACTTCGTGAACCAATCATTCTTGGCGGCGCCCACAAGGGGTAGGGGGGAAGGGGGAAGGCTTCTTAGAAGGAGGCTGCTTCTTAGAAGGCGCCGGCCCTACATCTACAGACAAGGCCCGCGCCTCCTGAGAAGCAGGGATGCTTACAAGAAGCCTTCCCCCCTCCCCCTTATCCCCCTCTGCGCGTGGCCGACGTTCAGCGACTCCAACCCGATCGCGGCGACGGCGGCGGCTGTGGCGACGGCGGCGGCGGCGGCAGCGTCGTCGTCGTCGTCGTCGGCGTCGTCGGCGTCGTCGGCGCCGTCGTCGGCGCCGCCGTGCGAGCGCCAGGATGCACAACAGCGACGGCGGCAGCGGCGGCGGAGGCGCGACGCCGCGGGGCGGCGGACCTCCCGGCCGGGGAAGGCGCGGGGCCCGGCCGCGTGGGGCCCCGCGGCGGCGGCGGGCTGGCCGCTTGGGCGGCGTCCTGAAGCGCCCTCGCCGTCGTCGCCGCCGCCACCGCAGCCGACGACGACGACGACGAGGACGACGACGACGACGACGACGCCGACGGCGACGGCGACGGCGAGGGCGACGACGACGACGCCGACGGCGAGGGGCGACGACGACGACGACGACGACGACGACGACGACGACGACGACGACGACAGCGACGACGACGGCGACGACGACGGCGACGACGACGAGGACGAGAACGAGGACGACGACATCGACGGCGGGCTGTTCCCCGACCTTCACGGGCAACGAGCACACTTTTGGACTGCGGCGAGTTGGGTCCAACAAGCGCTCAAGCAAACGGCAGGACGCATCCGTTGCGAGTGTAGGCACAGGTGCGCAGGCGGGCGAGGGGCGAGGAGACGGCCAGAGAATCCTCAGATGGCGTCGACCCGTTCATGATGCGCCTGGGAGCAGGCTCACGAGCAACGACGAGCACATGTAAGCCCATGCCCTCACGTTCTGGGCACCGAGGCGCGACCCCAGGGGCGCCCGATCCCGCGGATGCGGTCTGCGCGGGACATCCGCCCCAGCGCCGCCCTGCATCCATGGGTTAGGATCGGCAATAGCGACTGCAGGCGGTCCACCGCCATATCGCGCGAAGAAACTCAAAGTATAAAAGACGTCCAAAAACTCTAAGCCAAAACCTGCGAAAGTCTCAAACTCTAGAATAGCTTCCAAAAAACTCTAAGCCAAAACCTGCGCAAATCTCAACTCTAAAAAAACTTCCAAAATTATTTAAACCAAAACCAACAGAAATCTCCCCCCCAAAAAAAACTCTAAGCCGAAGCCTGGGAAAATCTCAAACTTACAAAAACTTGAAACCGGAACTCAAAAGAAACTCTTTAGACTCTCCAAACGCCTAAAGACTCACAAAGAAAATGGAAAACTGTTTATAAAAAAACTCTGACAAAAAAACTCTAAACATATTTCTGACCGCCTGACTAATTCAACAAAAAACTTTGGGAAAACTTCAAAGCTCTAAATGCAAACCCCGGCGGCCTAGGAAACTTTAAACAAACTTCAAAAATCTAAGAACAATCTGGCCGCCCAAGCATCAAGCATCTGTTGTCCAATCTCTCTGCTTCAATTTTTTCTGGAGCTTCGGTTTCAAGTGTTTTCCGGGTTGAGATTTTCCCAGGTTTTGGCTTAGAGACTGTTTGAAGTTTTTTTAGGTTTGAGATTTTCGCAAGTTTTGGCTTAAAGATTGTTTGAAGATTTTGGGAAGGTTGAGTTCCCAGCTGAAGATTGTCCGAATTCTGCTGGTTTTCTCGATGGACCTCCTGTAGTATCATTGCCGAACCTAATCCATGGGGTCGCTGCCGAGGGGTGCAAGCATCAAGGCCGTGGATATGGACATGTTTGCCAGTGTGGGCCCCAGGCAGCGAATTATTGCACTGTGGATGCGTGAGCAATGTGATGCCATGTCTGTGGTGTGCCCTGTGGTGCGAGCTTTGTGGCGTAAGGTATACGTTGCAAGCTGTGTGGTGCAAGCTGCGTGGTGCAAGCTATATGGCGTAAGGTAATGCGGTGCAAGCTGGGTGTTGTAAGCTGTGTGGTGTAAGCAGTGAGGTGCAAGCTGTGTGGTGCAACACGCGTGGTGCAGTGCATGTGGCTTGAGCTGTGCAGCAAGCCAAGTGGTGCACGTATGTCGCGTAAGCTATGTGGCGCCCACGAGGCGGGCACGGCCGCCCACCAGGCGAAACCTCACCACGCCCGCCGCATGCCTCACAGAACAAAGCAAGCACCCCTGAGTGCAAGCACTGCTTGGGGAATCCTGCCCGACCGCAGGATTCGGGCCTCTGGAAGCCCATCTCGAGCCGAAGGACCAAGGACATCCAGGAAGCGGTGCGGGATGAAAAGCCTGCCCCGGGGAGATGGTCCCGGGCCCCAGGGCGCGCCCCACGACGTCGACGTCTTCGTCTTCCCGTCGTCGCCGTTGCCGATCGAAGCTCGCCCTGGAGGACTGGAATTGGTGCGCCGTGGAGGGGGACGTCGCTTCCCGGATCAACTCCGAATGCGGCCACGCGCTATTACCCTTGGCCAATGGCTCCGCTCCTCCTCCTCCTCCTCCTCCTCCTCCTCCTCCTCCTCCTCATCATCATCATCATCATCATCATCATCATCATCATCATCAGCATCATCATCATCATCATCATCATCAGCATCATCATCATCATCATCATCATCATCATCGTCGTCGTCGTCGTCGTCGTCG